ATTATAATGTAAAATGTCTGCCAATTGTCAATTTAATCAATTAATTATGGATATATTTATGTTAGATATTTTAGTTGAACATGTGGCTACACTAAGTATACCCGGTATACTACATTGCCCAGCAATACAGTATACAATACTTAATAAAAATAATAATTTTGTGATTCATCATAATATGACTATAAAATGTCTAGAGATACAAACAAAATTCCACCATGCACTTTAATGCAAAATAATTGTGTACATTATTCACTGATAATGCATACGAGAGAGTATATAAGACCTGTGCCAATACTGCCTAACCATATCATTCACTCGCTGTCTATCAACAGAAGCAGTTGTGTTGGGAGGACCCGGAGCTCACACTCGGACATTAAACTAATATATATTATTTTTATTATATATTTTTATTTGATTGCATTTTGAAACTAATTTTTGTTTTTTTTAAATTACTATAGAAAAACTAGTCTGGGTGGCAATCGGTGGATCAACTCGTGGCCAAAGTAACTTCCTGAATACCATGGTTATCAAACTCGCATACAAATGACCATGGTTATCAAGCATCTAGCATTAAAAGTGAACACATCTACTGCATTCAAACAAGTGGCCGCCGTCCCCAAAATTGCCGAGCGTCAAATATTTGCTACAATTTATACAAATTTTTATGAATTGCAGTCATTTTCAGGTCACTTATGTTGTGACCAAATATTTAATTAATTTGTATGTCTTAACAGTTTTACTGGTCGAGGATATGGTAAGTGTAAGTATACAACGGGTCACACCAATCGGCTTTGCAATTATTCGGAATACCTTTACATCCTTTTACATCGCAATATTATTTAAATTTATATATTAATGTTTATTAGTCTAGTTTGATTTAATTAAGTTTATTTTAATTTAGTGTTTTGTTTAATCAGCAATGAGTGGTTTGCCTTCAATGGCAGTGTTTGAGCAAATGTGATCTTAATGTGTTTTTTCTCTAAATATCTAATGATGACACAGTCATCGGTGTTTGAAATGAGTCCATTTTGCAATCACCATGGTCATCACGGGTGCACGTGTTCACCCCATCAATCAGGAAATACACCGATGGAGTACAAGAGGAATACCCCGTTCACCATATAGTATATCGTTTGAATGGATGGACGTCTGGGCAGTGGATGGTAATCACCGCCGAAGACATCGCTTCCGCATATCTGATGGTAATTACTTGTAATTGTTTTGATTTGAAAATGACTGCAATTTGTAAAATTGATACATTTATATTGTAATTATATAATTTTGTAATGTTAGTGAATTTTATAATATTAAACTGTTAATTTAACTAAATTAAATTGTTTATAAACTAGTTTTGTTAACTTATATTTAATCTATTATAACAATTGTGCAAAGTTTTACAAAATAATTATTAAAAAGATTTATGTAAAATAATACACATTCTTAAAAGTTATGCTAAATAGTAAAACGATTGAACAGTGGGCAGCGTGACCACCTCTAGATTTAAAAATAGAGAACATTTGACCAAATTCTCTTTAAAATAGAGAACAAATAGAAAACACATATTTTACGTTAATTTTTCTTCTAAATTTAAAAATCGAGTTTATGTAACACTAATGTTGAAGTAAAATTTATTGTGTTAAGTGTATAAAAATGGCAATTATTAATCAAGAAATTGTCAATTCCTTTATTATTGTATAAATAAATAAATATTTAATAAATTTAATAACATTTCTATCATTTATTTTAAATTTAAAATAGAGAACAGTTCTCTATTTTGTCCAAACACAGGTCCAAATAGAGAACTGTTCTCTGAAATAGAGCACAGGTGGTCACGCTGACAGTGGGTGACATTGTATTTGTTATTCGTGAAGTAATCACCAAAAAGGCATACATTTTTTAAATAAAAACATTAAAATATTTTTATAATTACTTTAATTATACTTATTGGTTAATTAATAGATAAAAATTAACTATTTTAGATTTAGTGTATATATAAAAATACACTTTAGAATTTTGAATTATTGAATAAACAATTATAAGTGAAATTAAATTTACATTATTATTATTAGTTAAACTTTACATTTGAATACAAAATTAATTTCGCTTACATTTACATAAAATAACAAAATAAGTGATCACTCGGTAAGCAATAAAATGCAGACAAAGCATAGCTAAACCTTGCATTAAATGCCAGTCTTGGAGACCATAATAAGTGATAACATTAGACTCATTGCCGAAGTGGTCGTCACTACCGAAGCCAAAGTCTACGATTGATAGCAGTTTCTCATAAGGAATTACTTCCGATGAGTATATCTTCATAAGTGTTTCGTCACTGAAATGCTGTAAGAAATCAGTTTTGTTGACCACTAATGGGTTGTCATCGCATCGATTCAGACCATAGATGTTGACAATCATCGACTCTAAGCCGAACCGCAAGTAATCAAAGTAAGTGATCACTCGTAAGGGCGCCGGCATTGTCTCGATTCGAGCCAAAGTCCCTATGGATTACATTTATATTACATAATCATTCAATTGCTTTTCTAATAAAGTAATAAAAACTTTTAACATTTCATTAAAGTATAAAAATTATGGAAATTTATGGAAAGTTTCAATAAAATAAAGTAAATTTTTAAAGTTGAACTAATTTTTTGTATCACATTTAAATAAATATAATTTTAAATTAATTTATATTGACTTACATGTTAGTAATTTAAAAATTAATTATGATTAAGTTTGACAAATATTTTAAAATAATATGTTAAGGAATAATTTTTTTAATTGAGTATTACTTCAAAAAGAAAGTATATTTTTATATCTAAGAATATAATAAATTTAGAATAACTGTAAACCTAATGTCAATTGTGTAAAATCTATTAAAGTTTTAATTTATTACTAATTGTAAAGGATTTTCCTATTAATAATTGTCTCTTTATTTTTAAATATTGTAAAAATATTTCTCACATTTAGGGAATATTAAGACCTATGATATTTATTCATTAATATCTAAATAACTAAATAAGTCATCGATAACTTATCGATGATAAGTTATAAATAATAATGAACAAGTATACTGTATATTTCCATAAAGTTTTAAACTTTTTGCATTAAAAATATTTTTCACATTAAGTTAACAAATGTTTTAACTGATTGAAAACACTGCATATAAGACCCGGTATAATATTGAAAACCTATCATTCAATCAATGGCTTGAGTCCAGTGCTGTTCACTACAGCTGTTCAGTACAGTATTGTGTCGACCGGTTTGTATTTAAGCATAATTTGTTTCTAACTACTTATTTTTCTAATAATTATGTAAACGAGTCTGACTATTAATAGCTCACCATGGTTTTAAAATAACTGTTTAATTATGTGCTGATTGATCAACGTGTGTGAGATGTCAATCATTCCGTTAATGATAATGCATTTTATAATTTATAGCTGTTTTAAATGTTACCACAATTGCAGTCATTATTGTTTGTCATTAATATTTATAATTAATATTTTTGTCGTTTTATTTTAGCGTTCAAATTGGATCACGATGAAGAGATCATCATATTGCTTTAAGATGCATAATTTATCTTATTTAGAATTTACTAACCAAACTATAATTATGTTACAAATCATTTTGTTATATTGTAAGTCTTACAATGTAAGAGATTGTAATTTAATTTTAATATTTGTATTCAATTTAAACTACTATATAATTTAATTATAAATGATATGGTAAAATATTTCATGGGTGAGTAATGTATCAAAATAACCAATATTTAAAAATAAGTTTCAATATTAATTGTATTTTATATATTAGTCACAGGAATTTTCCGTTTAATTGGCATTCAAACGACCATAGTGGCCATAAATATCACTGCTCAAAACTAATTAGCAACATAGATGAAACTAATTTGGGAAGATCTTAATTTACCTCCATTAAATATTTTCTATACATGTATTATTTGTTTGCCCCTCAATAGATGCATTGGTGGCCATTGGTTTTAACGCTAATCATTGACGACTTAATGGATATACGTTATGAATGGGATGGTGTGGTGAAATGTGCTCGTTGGAAAAAATATGGTAAATACAATTTTCATAGTTAATATGACTGCAATTTGTGAACACGTTTATAATTATATCAATTAATACACTTCATGTAACAAATCTTTAAAATGTTATTTAATAAAATTTTGTAATTTATATCAAGCAATCATTGTTCTTATTTAAAAACAAAATTTTAACAAGTTTATACGTGATTATATATCACAAATTTATCTTGTTTAAAAACACACAAAAATTACAGATTATTGTGGCGGTTGGGGTCAAAATTAAATACCAAGTTTATTGTTACCTGAAAATAGCATCATTGGTATAGTAATAGTGAGCCCCAAAGTGGCCGCCACTTCCGGATTACGGGGGAAGAGAGCGCTGAATAGAAATCCCTGAGCGCTGGCCGTCAACGATATGAGAATCAGTATCACAGCAAACGTATACATACGCCAAATGGGATGCATATACTGTCCGGTCATGTAATAGGCGTAAAACGAGCCTAAACTAGGCATCAGTATCTGAAACGGTATGTCGACAATGATCTTTGACAGCACGTAAGCCAGACATGAGTACCACCCGTTCCCGCACTCCTTCACACCAGCAATTGTGAGAGAGAGCACAGGTATGTAATTATTTAAATAACCATAATGTTTAAATTAAAATATATACCTTTTCAAAGCAGTTGATCTCTTTGGGAAATACAATACACGCGGGAAATGTGGCACCAAAACAAAATGCTATCGTAATGTAAACCAATTCCAAGCTATTGTCAAATAATGCACTCCTCACTAACACCATGTGCTCGAAGTAATCGCCGTCAATCACCATAAAATCAACGGCACAGCCCGACAGCACCCCATTGTCATCGCCGTACAGATAACTAACCAATAAAGTAGTAATTATGTACATCAATGCGCGCATCCAGGTCATAACCGGCTCCCGGCATGTCGTTATAAATGATCTAGGTATATAATAAATGTGTTTCAATAAAAACTTATACAATTTTAATACCTTTCAATTAATATCCATAACGATCGCCTAAATGTGTCATTAATTTGTGTCTTAATCTCAAACAGACATTTACTATCAGTGTTATTATCATCGGCTGACACTGCGCTCCGGTAGGCGTTGGATAACATCATCACTTTCTCGATGCCGTACTCTTTGCACGCAATATCCAACACAAAATCTGCCGGATTATAGTAATCTGGACACACTAGACCGTGTCGACCCAAGTGGCCAGTCATGGTTTGTGGCGGTCCGTGATATATGCACTGACCGTCGTATGACATTACGTATGCCGAATCAAACAAGTCAAATAGTTTAGCGCTGGGTTGGTGTATGGTTAGGGCAATAGCCATGGGTGCCGGTGCCGACTGTTTGCACAGTTTGATTAGAGTGCGGATCAGTTGCCAAGTGGTCATTGAGTCAAGACCGGTGGTGGGCTCGTCCAGTACGAGTATGTGTGGCCGGGAGACCAACTCCAGGGCAATGGATATACGTTTGCGTTGACCACCGGAGCATTGGTTAGGCCACTGGTCCGCGCAATCGGCGATCTTTAGTTTATTAAGTATATCGCGAGCGACAGCCGTGTGTTCAACGCTCGGCTCGTTTTTAAGTCTCGACGCGTATACCAGCGATTCAAATGTGGTCACCCTATCGAGCAGATGGTCGTCCTGACCGATCACCGCAAACTTGACCTACAATTTTAGGTTATATAATATTTAAATTACTTGTGACATTATCTTGTTTTATTATAAATTATGTACAAAACAATTTCATAAATAGTTTTATTTTATTAAAATCCCCTCATCTGTGGGACAAACCTTTTGATCCGTTGTTATACGTATAGATCCGGTCAGACCTGTCCTCTTGTGACCAGTAATACACGACAATAATGTAGACTTTCCGGCGCCCGACGGACCCAATATGGCCGTAATGGTGCCACTATTGAAATGACCATGCACATTGTTTATAATTGTTTTCTCTTCACTGCTAAATAATGATATCAAAGACTTTTTGGTGAACACCTTATAAGACAATGAATGCCATGAAATGGTAAATGAGTCCAAAGTTTTAATCACATTTTTAGATCTAATATTTTGCAAATTATTGTATTTATCACTGATTTTATTCATTTAAAAAACATATAATTAATTATTGTTTAATATTATAATAAATTATTACTTTTAATTCTAATATTTAAAATAATAAATTTTTATTATAAATATTTCTGTATTAAGAATCTTAATTTAAGATTAATGTAAAAATATTAAAACATTGATTTTACTTTGAATTGTAAAAATTTTATTTTAAATATTAGCTATAATTGCATAACTTATGAATCAATAATAATATAAAGTCATTAGTAAATGCAATCAAAAGTTAAAATAAGAATTTCTTAATTATTTAAGGCTTTAATTATATTTTCAGTTATATTAAGAAAAATTACAATTAGTTTTTAAAATAAATTATAAAAAAGAAATATAAAATTCAAAACCCAATAAATGTATTGATTATTAATTATTAAATATAAATTTAATATATGATATATAATGATATACGTATGTACATACGTATGTACATGATAATGTATATGTTTTAAGCTTTTTTTAATGAACATTCAAGAAATGGTATATTTATAAAAAAAATATCTATCATTAGAATAAATGTGGATCAAAAGAATTTTTTCATTAATTGTATTTTAAGCAAAAAATTACCAAGAGATATCAGATGTGAAAACAATTTATGATAATTTAAACGATTATTTTTAATCTCATGTATCTTTAAAAACAAGTTTTTTAAATAAAAAACTATTTTCAATTATTATTTTTGAAATTGAAATGCACAACATTTCGTCTATTTCACCATTTGATAATATCATGACATTCCAGCGTAGTGTTAAACACAGGGAATTATACAAATAATATCAACGAGTACAGCCCATTATACCACCTTTACGTGTAAATGTAAAGATTTATGTAAATTATAGCACATTTTCATAAGTTATGCCAAACAGTAAAACAATTGAATAGTGGTTAACATTGGATTCGTTGGTCATTAAGTAGTCACCAAAAAGTTCTATCAATACTTTTTTTTAAATAAAAACATTAAAATTTTTATAATTATTGACTTTAATTAAGTTTATATCATATATTGTTCAGTAATGGTTAACAGATAAAAATAAACTATTTTAGATTTACTGTATAACAGTTATAAAAATTAATTTCGCTTAAATTTATATAAAATAACAAAATAAGTGATCACTCGGTAAGCGATAAAATGCAGACAAAGCATAGCTAAGCCTCGCATCAAATGCCAGTCTTGGAGACCATAATAGCGGATAACATCGGACTCATTGCCGAAGTGGTCGTCACTACCGGAGCTCAAGTCTATGATTGATAGCAGTTTCTCATAGGGAATCACTTCCGATGAGTATATCTTCATAAGTGTTTCGTCACTGAAATGCTGTAAGAAATCAGTTTTGTTGACCACTAATGGGTTGTCATCGCATCGATTCAGACCATAGATGTCGACAATCATCGACTCTAAGCCGAACCGCAGGTAATCAAAGTAAGTGATCACTCGTAAGGGCGCCGGCATTGTCTCAAGTCGGGCCAAAGTCCCTATGGATTGCATTCAAATTACATAATTATTAATATTCATAATTATTAACTTGTTTTCAAATAAAGTAATAAAAAATTCCAACATTTCATAAAAGTATGAAAATTGTGGAAAACTTATGGAAAGTTTTAATAAAATAAAGTAAATTTTTAAAGTTGAACTAATTTTTTGTATCACATTTTAATGAATACAATTTTTAATTAAAATACATTGACTTAAATGTTAGTAATTTAAAAATTAATTATGGCTAAAAACGTTTTAAAGTTTCATGTTTGACAAATATTTTAAAATAATATGTTACGGAATAATTTTATAAATTGAGTATTACTTCAAAAAGAAAGTATATTTTTATTATGAATAACTGTAAACCTAATGTAATTGTGTAAAATCTATTAAAGTTTTCATTCATTAGTAAATGTAAATATTATGAATTGAATTTTTCTATTTCTATTAACAAATGTCTCTTTATTTTTAAATATTGTAAAAATATTTCTCACATTTAGGGAGGATTAAGACCTATGATATTTATTTATTAATAACTAAATAAGTCATGGATAAATTATAAATAATAATGAACAAGTGTACTGCATATTTGTATAAAGTTTTTAACTTTTTGCATCAAAAATATTTCTCACATTAAGTCAACAAATGTTTTAATTGTTTAAAAACACTGCATATAAGACGCGGTATAATATTGAAAACCTATCATTCACTCAATGGCTTGAGTCCAGTGCTGTTAACAAAACATCTATGTTAAGTACTATTGTGTCGATCGGTTTGTATTTACTTATAATGTGTTTCTAATTATTTATTTCCTACACAGGGGATTACCTCTACCATGATCTTAAAATTGCTGTTTAATCATGAGCTGATAGATTAACATGTGAGAAATGTCAACCATTGGGCTAATAATGCATTGCATCGATTGTTTTAAATGTTACCATAATTGCAGTCATTATTGTTTGTTATTAATATTTTTAATTTATATTTTTATCGTTTTATTTTAGCGTTCAAATTGGATCACGATTGGAGATCATCGTATTGCTTTAAGATGCATAATTTATTTTAATTAGAACTTACTAACTAAGCTATAATTATATTATAAATCATATTGTTATATTGTTGGAGATTGTAATTTAATTTTAATATTTTTATTCAATTTAAATTACTATATTTATTTATAAGTAATAAGGTACATTATTTCATGGGTGAGTTATGTAGCAAAAATAACCAATATTTAAAAATAATAGTTTTCAACACTAACAGTTTTATATATTAAAATCAGGGTATATGGTCCATTTGGCTTGCAAACGACCATGGTGGCCAGGAATAGCACTGCTTGAAACTAATTAACAACATAGATCAAATTAATTTGGGAAGTCTTAATTAATCTACTTTAAATCAGTTCTATTTTGTTTTTCTCTCTAAACAACCCAAACAGATGACACTTTAATTGTTGGCCATTGGTTTTAACGCTAATTGGATATAACTTAATGGATATACGCAATGCATGGAAATAATCGAGATGAAATGTGTTGGTTGGAAAAATATGGTAAATACAATTTTAATAGTTAATATGACTGCAATTTGTGGAAACATTTATAATTTTATAATCAATTATTACACTATGTAACAAACCTTTAAAATATTATTTAATAAAATTTTGTAATTTATATCAAATAATCATTGTTCCTATTTAAAAACAAAATTTTAAAAAGTTTATAAGTCATTATTTATCACCGGTTTTACCTTGTGTACATGGTTGGGGACAAAATTAAATACCAAGGTTATTGTTTATTACCTGAAAATAGCATCATTGGTATGATAATAGTGAGCCCTAAAGTGGCCGCGACTTCCGGATTACGGGGGAAGAGAGCGCTGAATAGAAATCCCTGAGCGCTGGCCGTCAACGATATGAGGATCAGTATAACTGCAAACGTATACATACGCCAAATGGGATGCATATACTGTCCGGTCATGTAATAGACGTAAAATGAGCCCAAACTAGGCATCAGTATCTGAAACGGTATGTCGACAATGATTTTTGACAACACGTATGCCAGGCATGAGTACCACCCGTTTCCGTACTCCTTCACACCAGCAATTGTGAGAGAGAGCACAGGTATGTAATTATTTAAATAACCATAATGTTTTTATTAAAATATATACCTTTTCAAAGCAGTTAATCTCTTTAGGAAATACAATACACGCGGGAAATATGGCACCAAAACAGAAAGCTATGGTAATGAATGCCATTTCCAGGCCATTGTCTACTATAGCATTCCTCACGATAATCATGTGCTCGAAGTAATCGCCGGCAGTCACCATGTAATCGACGGCACAGCCCGACAGCACCCCATTGTCCTCACCGTACAGATAGCTAACCAATAAAGTAGTCATTATGTACATCAATGCGCGCATCCAGGTCATAACTGGCTCCCGGCATGTCGTTATAAATGATCTAGGTATATAAAATAAATGTGTTTCAATAAAACCCTATGCAATGTTAATACCTTTCAATCAATATCCATAGCGATCGCCAAAATGTGTCATTAATTTGTGTCTTGATCTCAAACTGACACTTATTGTTGTTATTATCCATAGAATCCAAGTTATTATCATTGGCTGACACAGCGCTCCGGTAGGCATCGGATAACATCATCACTTTCTCGATGCCGTACTCTTTGCACGCAATATCCAACACAAAATCTGCCGGATTATAGTAATCTGGACACACTAGACCGTATCGACCCAAGTGGCCAGTCATGGTTTGCGGCGGCCCGTGATATATGCACTGACCATCGTATGACATAACATATGCAGAGTCAAACAAGGTGAATAGTTTAGCGCTGGGTTGGTGTATGGTTAAAGCGATAGCCATGGGTGCCGGTGTCGACTGTTTGCACAGTTTGATTAGAGTGCGGATCAGTTGCCAAGTGGTCATTGAGTCGAGACCGGTGGTGGGCTCGTCCAGTACGAGCACATGTGGCCGGGAGACCAACTCCAAGGCTATGGATATACGTTTGCGTTGACCACCGGAGCATTGGTTAGGCCTCTGGTTCGCGCAATCGGCGATCTTAAGCCTATGGAGTATATCGCGGGCGACAGCCGTGTGTTCAACGCTCGGCTCGTTTTTTAGTCTCGACGCGTATACCAGCGATTCAAATGTGGTCACCCTATTGAGCAGATGGTCGTCCTGACCAATAACCGCAAACTTGACCTACAATTTTAGGTTATATAATATTTAAATCAGTTGCTAGAATAAATTATATACAGAATAATTGTACAATATGTTGTTATACATATTGTATATTTCAAGAAAAAGTTACTGGGTCAACACTAAATTTTATAAGTGATGTTCATTATCATGATGCTATACAATTGTTTTAAACAAATAAATTGCAATTTCTATAAATAAATAAGGAGTTATGTTTTATTCACATCATGCTCATCTATGGGACCGACCTTTTGATCTGTTGTTATACGTATAGATCCGGTCAGACCTGTCCTCCGGTGACCAGTAATACACGACAATAGTGTAGACTTTCCGGCGCCCGACGGACCCAATATGGCCGTAATGGTTCCACTATTAAAATGACCATGCACATTGTTTATTATTGTTTTCTCTTCACTGCTAAATAATGATATCAAAGACTTTTTGGTGAACACCTTATAAGACAATGAATGCCATGAAATAGTAAATGAGTCCAAAGTTTTGATCACATTTTTAGATTTAATTTTTTGCCAATAATTGTATTTATCACTGACTTTATTCATTTGTTATTAATTAAATTAATTTTTGTTTAATATTGTAATTAATTTTAGCATTTAATTACGTTTTAATTATAATATTTAAAATAATAAATTTTTATTATAAATATTTCGGTATTAAGATTAATGTAAAATTAGTGACTTTACGGTATATTTCACATATATTTCACAATATTAAAACATTAGTTTTACTTTGAATTGTAAATATTTTATTTTAAATATTAGTTATGAATAAATAATAATATAAAGTCATTAATAAATTCTACAAAAGTTTAAATAAATAAGAAATTCTTATTTATTTAAGACATTAATTATATTTTCAGTCATTTCAAGGAAAAAGACAATTAGTTTTTTAAATAAATGATAAAAAATATGACATTCAAAACATAATTCAAAAGCCAATAATTGTATTGATTATTAATTATCAAATAAAAATTTAATGATATGTTATTTATATATACTACATAAATTTATTTTAAAGTTTTTGAAATTAAAATGCATTACATTTAGTTTATTTCATCATGGATAATAACATGGCTTCCCAACGTAGTGTTAAACACAAGGAATTATACAAATAATATCAATTATTTATTAATAAGTAAGTAGACAAGAATAATGCAATTTTATTTAAAACATTTTATTTACAATTTAAGAATCTCATTACTAACATAACTTTTATGTGCTTATTCTGTAAATAAGTTTTATCCACATTACATAGTATTTATAATTACAATTTAATATATAAAATTAATATAAACTTTATTTACAATGTTCATGTTTATACAAACACAAAGAGTTTGATTTAAGCATAGTTTCCCGGATGATCATATTTTACAAGTTGCTGCCCTTTTATAAATAAACAACACCTATGGTAAAGTGTTTTATATAACACTGCATTTTTTAAATACAACATGCTGCATGTTTTAAGTATTTAATTCAATACAATAATCAACTAACCTGTAATAAATAAAGATACCGCTTATCTTGATGAAGTAACTCAATTTTACGTCTCCCACTTGAAATACTTCACTGTACTATCAGTAAATAAATTATTTAATAGTTACCGTAAAATAATATTGAATATAGCATAGAATGAGCAAGGACAGGTGTATATGAGCTAGGGGATTAATTGTTTGCCGGTTGAGAGCATGTCATTTAAACAATTTGTTGAGGCAATTGTATTGCAATTTTTGTATATTTTATTCAGTGTTTGAGGTATAAAAGTAGTTGTCTGTTGTATTTACCTTCATATTGTGAATGTAACACATTAATGTAATAAACGTAACACAACATGATTGTCATCACAACATTAATCGGCATTATTTCAGCATATTTTCTAACAAAAAAGTATATTTCATATTCATTTTATAAAACCTTTAATATAATATTTTAAAACTTAATTAAATGTTTATTAAATTCATAGATATCTGAAACATAGGTTTACATTCTGGGAGAAGCAGGGGGTGGGCGGACACGAGGGTCTGGAGCCGTCCATATATAGGCCCGGCTTTGTCCACGAGAATGACCTGAAGAATGCCGAAGAGTTCGGTCACATCTATGGCTACTATGAGTTCTTCAGACGGGGTCTAGTGATCAACGAACCCGACCTAATACGGGAGGTGTTTGTCACACATTTTGATAAGTTTAGGAACAATCGGGAAATGTACTTCGGGGAGGACTCAATTAATTTGAACATGTTCAATTTGCCGGGTAATGTCGATTGGAAACGAATCCGCAGTATTTGTTCCCCGGCTTTTACCTCATCTAAACTGAAGGCTATTATGCCGTCACTGGAAGTGATTGCTGATGAGTTTGTAGACAGTGTGTCCCAAATGTTTGATACGGCTAAACCCGATGGTAAATATAGTTTAATGTTTTGTGTTTAGATACATTTTAAAA